CGTCTTCCCACCCCAGTTAACCCAGTCTAGAGAACCCCTCACAGATGTGCCCAGACATGTTTCCTAGGTGACTCCAAAGTCTGCCAACTTGACAGTATTAACTAGTGTGTGTGTGTGTGTGTGTGTGTGTGTGTGTGTGTGTGTATGTGTGTGTTGATTTCCTGTTGTCCATGACGGACACCTGAGGTGTCGCCATCTCCCAGCTACTGTGAGCACAGCTGTGTAAGTATGAACGGAGGAGCCGCTCTCAGCCTCTCCTTCAGCCTTCTGGTCTGCATACAGACGTGGGGCTGGAGTCGCAGTCTCCCAAACACTGCTCCCTCCTGTCTCTCTCACTTGCACCATGACTCAGGAGGGAACAAAGCCAAATATAATGGAGTCTACAGAAGACCAGAGACTACAGGTTTCTGTATGAACAAAAAATTACTGCAGAAAGGCTTGATGGAACAATTTTTCAAACAGAAATACTGAAAATGCCAGGACCCACATGGTAGAAGGAAAGAGTAGACTCCTGAATGTTTTCCTCTGACCCCCAAATACATGCTGTGACATGAACACACACACAGACACACAAACACAGATACACAGACTCAATACATAGACACACACTCAATGCTAGTGTAATAAGAATAAACCAAAAGGAGGGTCTGGAGCGATGGCTCAGCAGTTCAGTGCACGGCTGTCCTTCCAGAGGACTGGAGTCTGATTCCAAGTGCCCATAGGGCAGCTCAAAATTGTGTTTAACTCCAGCTCCAGGGGATCCAACACCCTTTTCTGGCCTCCGATGACACCAGGCATCTACACAGTACACACTCATGCTCTGAGGACACGAGCATCCACACAGTACCCACGAATGCAGGCACAACACCCACATAATACAGTTTAAAAACAAAGCTAAAGGCAGGCACGGTGGCACACACCTTTAGTCCTAGCACTCAGGAGGCAGAAGCAGGTGGATCTCTATGAGTTCAAGGCCAGCCTGGTCTACAGAGTGAGTCCAGGACAGCCAGGGCTACACAGAGAAACCCTGTTTGAATGTCCAAACAGAAGCAGCAGCGACAAAACAGAACTAAAAGCTGGAGAATGGTCACACTTGCACACGTACAAGGCATGTGTAAACACAGATGTGGTCACGTCCAGTGATGCATTCACACGGAGCGGCCCTCCTGAAGCTCAGCTTTATAGAGACTGATGCATTGTTCCCTTCCACAGATGTGCTCACGTCCAGTGATGCATTCACACGGAGCGGCCCTCCTGAAGCTCAGCTTTATGGAGACTGATGCATTGTTCCCTTCCACAGATGTGCTCACGTCCAGTGATGCATTCACACGGAGCGGCCCTCCTGAAGCTCAGCTTTATGGAGACTGATGCATTGTTCCCTTCCACAGATGCTGAACTTCCTTCACTCTGAGCTTGGAGAGGCTTCCTCAGGCTCTCAGCGCCACGAAGGTTGCCCGCACCAGCTGCTCACAGGCTGATGGTGGGCACCGATTCCCTGGGCATCTGAAGTCTGGTTTTAACTCATTTGTCCTGTAGCAACTTGAGGACAAGTTAAAGGGACATTTGCGTGTGTTCAGGGTGGTGGTGGTGGGGTCACTGCTTCTCATTGGCTCTTCTGCCACACAAGGCTGCTCTGCAAGACTCAGGCAGATCCCTGGCATCAGGGATGGAAAGTCCAGTTGTTTTCAGTTGATTGTGTTAATGAGCAAGCAGAGACTTGGATAGTTCCAGAGGCCAGCGACTCTGGTGTGCTAGGATGAACTGGGGAGGGGAGGAGAGGGAAGGGAAGAAGGGAGGGTAGGGTAGAGGAGGAGTGGGGAAAAGAGGGAAGGGGAGGGGAGGGAAGAGGAGGGGAAGGGAAGGGAGGGGGCGGGGGAAAGGAGGGGGGGGGAGGCGAGGGGAGCGCGGGAAAAGGGGGGGGGGGGTAATGTAAGGGAGGGGAGGGCCTCACATGTTCAGATGTGCAAGCATGTGATGTTTGGGGCTGGGCTCCATCTGTAACACGCTCACGGTGCAGGCATGGGGCCCTCCCTGACTCCAGGCCCCAGGACCATCAACAGAACAAGCCAGGTGTGATGGTGTACACTGAAATCCCAGGGCTGGAGGGCTGGAGCCTGGGGCTTGCTGGCCAGCCTGGCTCAAAGGGCCACTCCAGAGCAGCGGGGGAACCCTGCCTCAAACAATACAGGGGGGTGGCATCTGAAGCACAGCAGAGAGGGGTGTCTTCTGGATTCCATGTGCGCGCACACACACACAAACACACACACACACACGCATTTGCACACCATCCCCTGAATGTGACATTTGAGGTGATGCCTGTTGAAGCCTTCCACGTGCCAGTTTCCGTCTAGTGTCTATGATGGAAAATTGGGAAACTTGGCCTTTGCCTTAATCTGGAGGCTGCAGGTGGCAGGCGGGTGTGTTTCCCTGGTCTGTCTGGGCACACCTCTTACCAGCTTCCCTCATGGCTGTCCTGTGTTTCTTTCCTTAGAGCTGGCTGTAGACTTTTAAGCATCCCTAGAATGAGGTTCCGGTTTTAAGGTTCCAATTTAAAATTTTACACACGCTCAAAAGAAATGGATTCCTGCTAACGTGTAAGCCTGTGGTGGCGCGTCTATGCGGTCTTTACTGTGCCCGGCCTCAGCCATCGGGGATGCTGAGGAGCGCAAGGTGGCTCAGTTCCCGAGAATCTGCGCCACTCAGTGGTCTCCTGAGGCAGGAACTGGCGTGGCACCCTTTATAGACATCTCACACGTACAGTCACGGCACAGCCGTCACTGTGTAAAGAGGGACATGGAGGCTTCCTCAGATGGCCCATCTCCAAGGACGTGGATCCTCCACCTGGCTGGAAGCACACGGTTGGCTCCCCGGGAAGGCCCCATGGCTTTTCCAAACCAGAGAATGTGCTGCTGCCTGTGCCTGAGGTTCAGTGCTGGCTTCGGCTCCTCGGGCGCTGGCTTCGGCTCCTCAGGCCGCCGTTTCGCAAGGACACCCGACTTACCCAGACACTCTGCACTGTCAGGGAGGATCCTGCCGCCTCACCACAGCCTCGTGGGACTGCACGCCACCGCGTCCAGCTTTCTGTGTGGGTTCCACAGACAGTGCCCTCGCAGGCCACCAGGCCTGTCTGGCATGTTGTGCCACCCCCAGCCCATATGTCCTCGTCCTTACATGCAGCCATGCCTCAGGCCCTGCAGCTAAGAAGCGGTGGCTCCCTCAGCCTGACGCCACCCTGCTGAAGGGCATGTGGTCAAAGTGTATTCTGAGTGACGGATGGACCAGGGCTTCTTCTGTCTCAGTGGTGACTCAACAGACAGGCAAAGCAGCCCGCCATTGTTGTCTTCATGGCAACTTGGGTTTTAATAAGCCTCTCCCTACCATAGGAAAAAATCCAATATGCTAATTATTTTCAACTGCCGCGCACCAGGAAGGCTTCGACACACAACAGTTCACCCCACAAGATGAGGAGAAAACCGACACCTGCGTAATTATTCTAAAATAAAAGCAATTACTTTTAGAGGCTTGACTCCAATATCAGTTTGTACCAGTGCGTCCTCATGGCAGGCTAACATGCTGCGTTACGAGGTGCCAGTCACCAAGCACAGTTAGCACAGTGCAAAGCTGCTCAGAAGAACATGTGCCACAGGAGGAAGCCACGTGCAGGTAGCCTGGCTAAGCGGAGACATCACCCTTGATGAGAAACAGGCCAGAATCGGCTGCCTTCGCCAGGCCGGGCCAGGACCTGAGACAGAGGGAGGAGCTAATGAGAGCTGCTGTCCCCATGGCTGTCCCCGTGGCTGTCCTCTGTGGCTGTCCCCAGCTATCCCCAGCTGTCCCTGTGGCTGTCTCCCGTGGCTGTCCCTGTGGCTGTCCGTGGCTGTCCCCGGCTATCCCCGTGGCTGTCCCTGTGGCTGTCCCCCGTGGCTGTCCCTGTGGCTGTCCCCCGTGGCTGTCCCTGTGGCTATCCCCGGCTGTCCCCGTGGCTGTCCCCGTGGCTGTCCCCGAGGCTGTCCCTGTGGCTGTCTCCCGTGGCTGTCCCTGTGGCTGTCCCTCTGGCTGTCCCCGGCTGTCCCCCGTGGCTGTCCCCCGTGGCTGTCCCCGTGGTTGCCCCCGCTGGAGTGTTACTTTCTCTGAGGCGTGCTCACTCCCCCTGCTCAGCTGCACACTAAAGCTCCCACCTGCTCTCGACCAAGGACTGGGAAGAGCTGTGCCCAGGCCGGACACTGGGCTGCCGCGGCCCCACTCCTACTGCTGTGCAGTACACGCTGTCGTTGCGCGACTGCCTCACAACAGCTCCGGACTCCTCGAGTGAACTCCTAGAGTGAGTCAGGGGCGCACACCTGCGGGTCTGGGGCTCGGACGCTGAGGCAGGAGGAGCCAGGGTGGGTGAACCTGGGCCGCACGGGGAGCCCTGGCTTACGGCCAGCAAGCCGAAGCTTCCACCCAAAGGAGTCTGAGTAAGCTTCCACCCAGTTTATCTGGCGCAGTTTATCTGGTTATACAGTGGAACCTCCAGACCCCCAGGATGCTCCTGGGGTCAGGGAGACCAGAGGCTTACACAAGAGTGTGTGCAGTCACGCGTCCTTAGGACTCTCAGCCAGCAAGAGGCCAAGCGGCGGCACCAGCGCTGAACACACAGCAGGCCGCCAGGTGCCCTGCGGGAAGCTCAGGGAGGGCTGACGCACCACACACAGACACAGACACACACAGACTCAGACACACTGACACAGACACACACACAGACACACACACACAGACACACACACACACACACAGACACACACACACACAGACACACACAGACTCAGACACACAGACACACACAGACTCAGATACACAGACACACACAGACTCAGACACACAGACACACACACACAGACACACACACACACAGACACACACACACACACAGACACACACACACAGACACACACACAGACACACACAAACACACACACACACAGCGCGCGCACACCAGGTACATCACACTACTTCCCATATCGGCGTCTTTTCAACATTTATTAAAAAAGCAAAATGTATGTTCCTCATAAATACAACAGTTAGAAGTGGAAAAGCAAACAAACAACGCTTGGCCCCGGCGCCCGTCTGTCCCCGGGGCTCAGTCACTGCCTGCCTCCGCCTCCCAACTGAAGTGGGTGAATCAAACCAGAGAAAATCAACAGGTCAGGGTTAAATAAGCTTAAATAAGAGTGTTAAATACAGGACACTTTGTCAGCTTCTGTACAGACTAACAGATCTGGTTGCACACGGGACCCACCGGCCCTCAGCATCGGGGTTCTAGTGGGGAAGGCAGACGGACTCTGTCCTCAGCAGAGTAACTACAAGAAAGTGACCTGCGCACTGAAGTGACCACGGACAGTCTGGCCATTCACAGGCATATGTATCTCTTTAAAAACTCAGAACACTGTTAAGATCCAGGCACGGTTTGTTCCTGCGAATAAATACGTCTCTAGGGCAACAGCACTCAAGCTAGTGTTAGACTCCAGGGCTCCTCTCCACAGAGCGCTGCAGGCCACTCGCTGCACCTTCTTATTGCTATGGAAATGTGGCTGTGGACAGAAAACTACTGCACGTCCAAAAAAATAGAGCACCTTTAACATGAAAGCGCGCCCGCCTTTCCGCCTCCACACAGCCCTGCCCCCGAGCTCTGGCCGGGTGTCTCGGCAGGGCGCCTGCTGAAGGCGACACCCAGCTCTCTCCGGAGAAAAGCCGAGGCCAGACATTGTCGGGGACCTTTCAGCTGCAGCTGACCTTTCAGTCAGCATTTGCCAGGAGGTACATTCACGCTCTGCTGTAGCTACCCAGGAGTCCAGGCCCTGCCCTGTCCTGCTGGGGCGAGAAGTGAGACAGACAGACAGAGATGGCTACCTACGGGTGGTGAGAGCACGCGTGAAGTGCATGGCCGGCTGGGAAGGGACCGCAGGCGGGAGGGCGGGCTGGCGGGAGTCCTCTGCCAGTGAGGAGCTGGTCAGGCCTTCTTGTCGATGCTGCTGAAGAACCACTCGGTGAACTTGCGCAGTTGCGCCGTGGCCGTCTGCGACTCCTCCTGCAGCCTCATGTTGTCCTGCCGTAGGTGCTGGACTTCAGCCTGCAGTACTGCCTTGTCCTGCTTCTCCTGGGGGACCACGGTCAGGTCACGCCACAGGGCCTCGGCAGCTGCTCCCCCTGAGCTGGAGGGCCCCAGGCCCTGCCACTCACACAGGGCTGGGAGGCACCCTACCCTGGCCTCCGCTGGCATGCCCTCAAGGAGGAAGCTGCTCTCCAGGAAGGCCTGGAAGGGGCGGCCGCAGCTAGCTGCCGTGGGCCCCTCCTGATGTGCAGGCTTCTCTAGCCGCCCTCCGCTCTACCTAAACTGGCAGCAGTGTGGGGGCAACGCATGCAAATTCTGGAACCATCACTCCAGCCTCTCACTCCACCCTTAGCCTGCTGCTGCTGCCCCTCAGAGTTTGCCACTCAAAGGTCACAACAGATAACTTGTGCTTCTAACACACAGCCACGAGGAACATGAGCTGCTTCAGCTCCGTGAAGGCAGGCCAATCCCAGCCACTGTCTTCAGTCACGGTCCTACCTCTCACAGAGAGCAGGGCAGAGCCACTGGGGGCGCTTCACCTCCTTAGGACTTCTGCTTTCACCCCTGAATGGCCTCCCGGCTCCTCAAAGCTTCTGGGTTCACCCCAAGCCCACCACCCTCCCCACAAGTCCCCAGTTCTAAGAGGAAGGAACCTTTTGAACTGCAGCCTGGACAAGGCTCGCTGTAAGGCCAGCCGGGCCCTGAAACCCTGTCCTCAGACCACCCTGCTGGCACACAGCTGGCACAGCTGCCGTCCCCGGGCCCACAGTAGTCCTTAGACCCATGCTTTCCACACCCCCGATACCCTGTCCTCTTCCTGCTCGCAGCCATGGCTCTCTCCGGGGCATGCTGCTGCCGTTCCCCCCACTCTCAACAGCCTGACCTGGGGAATCGGGGCTGCTCCCTCAGGCTGTCCGTGTCCCGTGTCTGAGACCTTTCTGACATTAGTGGGCAGCTCTAGAGACCGGCTCCTCCTCTCTGTCCTTCCCACAGTGCGCTGCACTGCGTCACCACAGCACAAGGCAGTTGTTCTGACGTGGGGAGCAACTGACTCCCCTTTGGATTGCCTCACACATGGCAAGTGACAACTCACAGAATCCAGACACCAGCTTGCCGTGCCTTACTTCACCCCAACCTCACACTTAGAAGACTCACATTCAGCATGACCGCAGGCGCCCTCAGGGAGATGCCCACGGGGCGTGAGAATGGACCCAGGCAATCTCCCTTCTGTGCCCAGGACTGTTCAGGGTCCCCAGCTTCTCTGGGTCGCCCCAGGGGTTAGAGGGGGCTGCATGTGGCACGGTACTCTGTTGGAGGATGCCGGGCCCACCTACCTTCCTCAGGTCAGTCTGCAGCTGGCGGAGAATCAGCTCCAGCTGGTTGACTTTCCCGGTCAGCGTGGACGGCGACCGATCCCTGGAAAAAGTACAATGAAGGACTTAAGAGACCCAAGGCCAGGACAGTGTGTGTGTGTGTGTGTGTGTGTGTGTGTGTGTGTGTGTGAGAGAGAGAGAGAGAGAGAGAGAGAGAGAGAGAGAGAGAGAGAGAGCGCGCAAGGGTTCCCCTAAATAAGCTGGCGGTTTGGTACAAGGCTCCCAGAGCTGCCACTATGGCCTAAGAATCTAAGACACAAAGGCTGGCAGGAAAACAAGAGCCGGGCTCATTTAAATGGAGAAGAGGCAGGCCGGAGCTGGGTCCTGGGAGCCAGCGGTAGCTGATTTCCCTAACTCGCCTTTGTCCTGAAGACAGAACCAGGCTCAAGTTATCCATGCCTCAGCTCACAGGGACGTCAGAAACAGGGGCCATGCACTGCGAACAGTGGGTGCACTCCTGAACACACCAATGGCAGGTGGGTGGCCGGGTCAAGGACCAGGGTCTGGGAGGGACTGTGCCCAGGCAGATCTGACAGCATGAGGGGCCTGCTGGGCCACGGGGCTGACGAGGGGCCACTCCCGGTGCTGCTGTGGTAGCTAGGTGGCCAACCTAAGGCCCCACTGGCTCCTCTTGCCAGGGTGGGCACAGGCAGGGCCCCCAGGCAGGATCTGTCTATGCGGGGCGACGCTACACAGATCAGCATGACCATTTCTAGCACAGCAGGAGTCCAGGTCAGCCTACTGTCAGAGACTCTGCAGCCTGGTCTGGGATCCCTGAGTTTTGGGACAGTGTGTGTATGTGTGTGTGTGTGGGGGGGGGGAGTGGGAGGGCACACATACCCAGCTGTCTCCATGAACTCCTTGCCGCTGGTGGGGTCCACACACAAGGACAGCTCGGGGGCCCCTTCCAGTTCTTGTCCATGCTGGAGGTCGGTGAGGGTACAGAAAGATGCCACCCCTTGGTCTGGAGAGAAGATACACACCGAAAGCAGGTTGGTGAGAGCCGCCAGGTGCCATGACTCTGCACAGAGCAATTTACTAAGTGGAATCTGCCACCCTCCGTACCACAATGCCCTGCTGGAAACAAACCGGGGAAACAGAAACTCAGGCAAGCTGCTGGCAATGAGGCGGCAGGAGCCCGGCTGCCCTCCACGGGTGCATGTGTGTAAACCACGGCCACAGGTCGGCTTCCTTCCCCCACACCCCAAGGAATCGGAAGCTCCTGGGTGGGCATGGTTTAGCTGATGATGTGTCTGTTGACGGGACCATGGAGATGGACCCTGCTGTAAGCTCCCGAGAGCTTGGGAGCACTCCCGGGACACAACAGCCAGGGCACACATGCCTGAGCACCCCCCAGTGCGTGACCACCATGCAGGCGTGCAGACATATGAGATAAACGGAGCAGGCTACAAGACAGCAGAGCCAGCTGTGTCAATCACCTAGGTAGGAGGCGTGGTGACAGAGAAGCCCGAGCTCGTCCTCTGAGTCAAGACCTGAAATAAGATGTAGAATCCCCCGTGAACAGGAATCTCTCTGACCGTGAGAATCCTGGGACCCTTCCGGGGCTCGAGGGATCAGGTCGTTGTGGGAGTGGCGCATGCACGGTGTGCTAGCATGTTTGTGTGGGTGTGCAAGCTCCTGTCTATGCATGTGCAAAGGAACCAGGGGACAGCTTGGCGCAGTCTTTAGTGGTTTCACACACCACGTGAGAGAACACGTTTCATGTTTTAAGCGTTCTGTAGTAGGGTGGCAGTGTCTGACGCACACATATTCAACACAGACACCATCGTTTCAGGTTTGCCTGAATGGTCCACTCCGCGAACAAGAACAGTGGGGGAAGCCACCAGCAATGCCCGCTCAGTCTACGCTGCAAAGCTCAGGGGCTCCGCAGTGCTGGCAGCCACCCCCACGGCCAGCCGAAACAGCCCCTCTCACCCACAGGCATTATTAACTTGGCATTCAAGGTTTCCAGAAAGCTGGGCAGGAGAAAAAGAGACAGAGCGGCCTGGCTAACCTCTGACTCAGAACTCGGGCCAGCAACACTGCACGGTAGGCGGGAAGGCTTCATCACGGGAGCCCGGGAGCCCAGGACAAACCCGAGAATGTGGAGCCGCCCTGGATGCGGCCTGGGCCCTGGCTCTGAGGGAGGGATGATTCTGCCGAAGAGTGCCGAGGAGGCCCTCTCGCAGGGATTGATTACTGGGGAGGAGAAGTGCCCAGGCTCCCGGGAGCTGTCTCCTGCCGGCCGCTGTCGGGCCTCCTAATGAGGTGACCTGCCTGTTTGGTTGATGTAGGGTCACACACTACCAGTTAATTAAAAAGGACGGCGAGGCTGAGGCTGCCAGAGGCGCATGATGGAAAGTCAGTGCAGCCGAGGAATGCTGAAGGCACAGACTGCTCACAGGGCCCTGGGCCCTCCCGGAGGCCTGCTGAGCCCTCACAGTGGGGTTCTCTAAGTGCATGGGCCTGCCTAACGCGTGCCATGGGCACACAGGTCCTTCAGCTGACCTCTCTGTGAAGCTCAAGTGTAGCCGGCACGCGACAGTGACCCTGTGACCACGCAGTGAACACAGAGCTGCATTTCCACTAAGCACTGGAGCCTCGGCGGGCACACAGTGAAATGGCCTGCAGCCTACTGGGTGCTGCAGTCTGACCACTGCCACAGCCAACACAGTGCCCATGCACAGAGTGAGGATGAAGTAATGGGACCCTGGCCGGGAGGCAGGAAGGCCTTGTGGCTGCAGGATCCTTCACGCGCCAGTTCCTGGAGAGCACATGGAGAGCTCTGCTCAGCCTCATTCCATGAGGCCCCAAAAGACACTGCGTTCTTTAGAAAGTGACAACCAAGACCCAGACAAGCGTGCATGGGGTGCAGCCGAGCACCATGAGTATGTGTCTGTGACCCAGTGCTGGGGCCAGGTAGGCAGACCCCAGAGGCTCAATGGCCAGCAAGTCTAGCAGAACGGTGAATTCCAGATTCGGTCAGAGATCCTGTCTCAAAGAACAGAAAAAAGGAAAAAGAAAAAAAGGAGGAAGACTAGCCCAGAACTCCGGAAGTCAAGTCTGGCCTCCACAGGTGCCCACACAGACCCACGGACCTCCATGTGCATGCTTGCACACAGATGTCAAGAGAATGCTTTTAATCCCAGTTACTACTGACCAGGAGAAAATGCTGTTTAAACAGGTAAAATGACCCACTGCCATTTTACGCTGTGAAGAATTTCAAGGACTCGTGTCACCGTGTGGGGCCTGGTGACAATCCAGCCAAGGCTCCTTTGTTTTCAGGTGCTCGACACTGAGGGTCAAGTCTAAATACCTGGATGGAAATGATGTAGCCACTGCAGCTATTTCCGCCTTAATCTCTAATTCCCCTCCCACCCCAGGAGAGAAGACAGGGCTTCTTCCGGCGGTCTCTGGGGTCACACGATCCTCTGGGAAGGGGGCAGAAGCCAGTGCAGACTTTAGTTTTTTTTTTTTTTTTTTTTTTGAGACAGGGTTTCTTTGTGTAGCCTTGGCTGTCCTGGACTCTTTTTGTAGGCCAGGCTGGCCTTGACCTCACAGAGATCCCCCTGCCTCTGTCTCCTGAGTGCTGGGATCACAGGCGTGCACCTTTGAACCTGGCTTGTGAACACTATTACACACTTTCAGAAATGCATTTCACACACTGCCTACAGGCTTCCACAGCGGCACAGCACGCTGAAGAGGGCCTGCAGTGTCCCACTGTGATTACAGGCTGATGAAAGTGCAGGCAATCCCTTGGGAGGGGGGCCTCAAAGCACTGCAGACCTAAAGGCAGCTTCTATGGAGGGTGTGTTGCTCTTGAACCACTGGACAGCAAGGGAGTCTTTAGGAAAATGAGTCTACCACATCTTCTCAAGCAGCAGGAGGTAAGCTGAGCCCTGCGCGGCACACGGCTAACGGGCCTCGCTCTGCTGTATTGGGCAAATCCAAAGCTCTGCTTGGGAACTCTGACAAAGCATGGCAGGTGACCCAGCTGGGTCTCCAGTGTGACTGTCCAGCAGAGGGGAGTGGCCGGCTGGGCTGACACCGATGGTGCCTAGGTCAGCTCTCCTGGGCCAAGGAGACATCTTCACTCTTGACGGTGTGCTTTTGGGCTACAATCGGGCTCTCTACCGACTTCTGATGGATTTTAATTGTGCTGTATTATTTTACTTTAAATCACTGGCTACTGGCCAGTTATTGGAGGGGGATGGGGGAGGCACATTCTGGACTGGCTATGACTTGTCACTGTGCTTGAACGAGAAGATGGACTGCTTCATAATCTGAAGACTGACACTGGCCTGAGTGTTCTTGGTGGCTTCCCGGAGCAGCAGAAGCGTTTTCCACAGTGGGCAGGCGGGTGCCCATAGCTCGTTATCACTTAAATCTACATGAACACTGTTTGCACACTGAGTTAACGTGTGTCTTCTTCAGCGTGCCACATCCACACACCTCATCTGTGTAGCAGAGGTGGCGTCTTCTGCTGCTCGCTCATGCCTTGCACACACCTTGGCTTTTGCTAGCACTTTCATTATAAACTTCCCTTCACAGCTCACTGCGTCCCTTTTAAAATCTACTCCTTCAGGCTCATAAAAGATCTGATACTTATATATTTTTTATCTGGCCAAATTATATTTCACAAATTATATTTCTCATTACTCTGTAATTAAAGCTTCCAAATGGTAATATTGATTTTTATTCCGTTTTTACAACACCGGCTTTTCTAGTTCCTAAATCTAAATGGTGTATATAAATTGCTTTCTCCTTTAGGTGTTAAATACATTCTGATGCCTACGTTCTTTATTTTTTCAAAAGGACTCAGTCTATTTTTGAATCATTAGTATGCTATTTTAATTATTATTGATTTATAATAGGTTTTTGTTGAATACTGCTCATCATTTTTCAAAATGGGTGCAATTAAGTTCTTAGCGTATCTTTAGATAGCCGAGTTGAAACTGCACTTATCTCAAATTAATTCAAACAGGACTGTCATTTTCCCACAGAGGACTCTATCCATTCTTGTCCTTGTCTATATTAAGACTACAGTTAAGAGCGTCTCCGTTTTCTCTTTGTAATTCTAATGATGGCTTGATTTCCAACGAACACATAGTTGGATCTTGCTGATTTGCTTAAAGTGTCCTTCGTGGCTGCTCCAGTGACTGTGTGGAATTTGAGCCAACCAGACCTTCCCCTGCTATGGGAACATGACCCCTTTGTGAGGTGCTGACCAAGCCGAACCCCAGTGCCTGACTGTCCGTGTGATGGCACCAGGCATCACAGCCTGGGACTTCTCGGATCAGACACCAAGCAAGAACTGCTGCTATTGTACTGGGAATTCCACACGCATGCAATGATCCCAGGGGTGCAGACTTCAGCCAGGGTCCTCTGGGTTAGCCTGACACAGTAAGGCTCCGAGCATGTGCTCTGGCAGCCGAGGAGGCAGAAGCAGCAGCTAAGCCTTAGCGCGCAGCATGGAAGAAACAGAGCGCTGAGTCACAGTCACACATTTTGGGATGGCAATTTTACAAGCTTTCATCATTTGCGTTTGATCCTCCATCCCTAGCTGTATAAGCATGACTATAATTTCCAACCACTGATATTCACTTTTCTCCCCTTCCCACCCTGCACTGTTTGTGTGTAAGGACAGCACTACAAAGATCAAGGCTGTGGTTTCAGAGGGCTCCTTTGTGGCTTGCACGTGTGTCCCCACAGGCTTGTGTGCGAGAATGCTTGCTCCTGGCTGGGCGCTGTTTGGGAAGGTTGGAGGGCTTGGAGGAGGTGGTGGATGGGTGGAAGATGTGGCTCTCCTGGGTCTTTAGAGCCTGGCCCGGTTCTGCTCCCTGTCTCGTTTCCTGCGTGTGAACACGGCAGGTCAGCACCTCTTGGTGCTGTGGATGGCCCTGTCATGCCTCCCCTGCCATGATGGCCTGTCACCTCTCGGCAACCGTGAACCAAAACAAATGCTTTCTTCTTATGCTGCTGTGACAGCATTTTATTCCAGCAATGAGAGCGTGGCTCAGGCACTTCCCTCGATAACTTCCTGACAAAAGCGCTGCTTGTCACCATATTCCCAACTGCATTATGTACACTATCCAGGAAGGAGGATTCACCCTTCAGGAGACTTTGGAAGGATCGCTCAAGTCTTATCTTCTATTAGAAACAGGTCCCAATTCTATTAGAAATACTTTTAGGAAATTGGGATAATCACTCTTAATTACTCCACCTGCTATAACTTATAATAATTAAAGCTTTTCTTTTATTAAACTAGTTAAACTCCTGCCTGTAACAATGAACAGTCTCAACCTACTACAGAATTTCATGTACGTTTCCTCACCGAAATCGTTCAGACTGGGGCTGTCTTAATGAGGCTCTCTTTCTCAGAGATTTAAAAAAGAAACAGTTCTATTCCACAAGAAAGCTGCCTCTAGATTTCAGGGAAGCCTTGCACAAGGGCACTATTATTTTCTGAAATGGAAAACAATTCACTGTAAACTGGGTAGTTTTGAGTGACATTTGCTGGTCTGGAAAACTGTCGCATGCTTTTTCAATGACCTCCACACTTTGGCCTTTTTTCCTCATCCCTCATTTGTTCCTGTAATAAATACTCAATTATGTCACCACACAGTTAATTCCCATGTAGTTGAAATTCCTCAATAACGCCTTTCAACCTCTCTGTAGTGTCACGTGGGGAACACGTAATGAGAGAGTGTGGAGGAAGGATGGGCTGGACAGGGAGAGGGGGCACCTAGGATTCAGAGCAAATGGAGCCAGTGGGCAGAGGCTGCAGCACAGTGTCAGAAAGGCACAAAGACACACTGCTGAGTGACAGCTAAGGCACTGGCCATGGGGACCATGAACCAAGGGACTTTCTGAGCTGCCACCTATAGACTGTCTGGTGACAGGTTCCCTTTGGTCTCTCAGCTAAGTCCTGGCCCTGGGGAGCTGCAGCTGAGCTTCCTAGGGAGCTAAGTTCTGTTTTCTATGGTAGCAGACATAGAATCCTGGATCCTGTGCGTTCGGAGGCAGGATCCTGTCTGCTGCCTAGGCAGGCACTGAGCCTGGGCTTCGCTTCCTGCTTAGACCTTCAAGTAGTGGGACACGAGCCTGGGCTAAGGTCTGCCTGGGAAACTATTCTGCTAGGTTGGTGGCTTGGGCCGGCCAGGTCGGCATTCTGCAGAGCACAGCAAGACCCCATGCAGCACAAGGCCTCAGGACACAAGCCAGAATGCCAGTGTCTTCTCCAGGGGTGAAGCCTGCAGCCCAGGAACCTTCTGTCCGAAATTAATTCCACCTTGCTCATATCTGGAATGGTATCTATTAAATGTCAGTAGCTCAAAGAAAAGCTCTTCATTGATCTACTTACACAGGCCCTGGTATTTTAACTGCTGTCGCCTCTTTCATTTCATTTGCCTGTGTGTATGCTGCATCTCACGAGTGAGCATGCCCATGCACAGCACTCCGAGAGCACAGGTGGGCGTCGCCATCTCAGTAGACTTGTCATTTCGGTCCCTGGCTGGCCAGCTCCTGGAACTGCGCACCTCTGCTCCCCGACAAGGCGGGTCACAGCTGTGCAGAGGCAGCGCCGGCCTGTGCTCGGGATTCAAACCCAGGTCCTTGTGCCCGTATGGACAGCACTCAGGCCTGCTGAGCCGTCTCCCCGGACCCTCTGCAGTGTCCTGGAATCTTCTGAACATAGCTACGTTAGCATTCATACTTTCCCATTAAAATGTTTCTAAACAGCATGTATTTCTTTAGGAACTCCTCTTCAGAGCTTTCGGCCAAACACTTAACACCTAGCACTCTTTTCACCATTACTCAATAGTAGGAGAACAACAACAATATTATATTCCTTAACTCTGCTCAGGCACAGCCCACAGACAAAGGCTTAACTGAGCCAGCACAGACACAGGGTTAACTGAGCCAGCACAGACACAGGGATAACTGAGCCAGCACAGCCCGCAGGCACAGGCTCAGAGGAAGCCTAGGTCCACAGGGAGAGAAGAGACTTGCATGGGACAAACAACCCTGCAGAGTCATCTGGCCTTTCAAGGCCCACGTTACCCTGGTGTGCTTCAAGGACAGAGACAGTGTGAGCTGGGCAGGTGTGCCTGCTTTTCACCCAGGGAGATAGCCAAGGAGGAGGAGGGGCTTGAGGATCAGGTGGCAACTTGGGGAGCAGAACTTGGGGCTGAGGCCCCTGCCTAGTGCTTAACTCATCGTGGCACGCAGCCTCCAGACTCGTCCTTAGAGACGCCCCCTTTCCATCTGCAAAGATGGCGAGCATTCAACATTTGCCAGACGAGCCCGTACACAGACATGTGGTCCTAAGCTGCAGGGCAGGCCCGGCAGGTGGGCACACCGAGGAACCTGGGTGCGAGTGAGTGTTTACCTTCAAATGCGCGCGCAGCGTCCACGAGGTGGGACCAGTCTAGCCCTGCAGCTGTGTCTGGCAGCGGCATCAGGCCAGGATCGGCACACTTGGACTTATCCGATAAGGACCCGTCGGAGAACCAGAACTCGGCTAAGCAGAAACAAAACCGGAAACAAGTTTGTCAGTGTATCTAGTGACCCAGAAGCACCGCAAGAGGACCACTGTCCCCAGACTCTGTCAACCCACTGGTTAGTCAGTCAGAACACGGCTACCATTGCCCTCACAGAGAGTCACTCAGAAAGCCAGTCAGTCACAGCATGAGTGCTACCATCACAGGGAGTCAGTCAGTCAGATCATAGCTCCCACAGAGTACATGAACATGAGCGCCACAGTCCCCAGTACAGTCAGCCAGTCTGTCAATCACAGCCTGAGCACTGCTGCCCACAGAGTCAGTCAGTCAGTCGTCATAACTCCACCGCACCATTCGCACACAGTCCCAGTGTGAGCCCCACAGTCCCTGTGTCCCTGTTTGGAGTCAGTCCTTGCCCTCACCGTTACCAGTCAGAACTGGCACTGTCGCACACACGGTCAGGCAGGCAGGCTGTCACATGTACTGCCCTCGTCACAATCAGCCAATCACACTGTGCGTACCATTCGAGTCTGTCAGTCTTGACCTGTCAGTCCATCAGGCCCTGCACGGGCAGCACCGTCCCCAGAGTCAGCCACTTCCGGCACCAGCACTGCTGATCCATCAGGGTCGGAAGGTCAGTCAGTGTGGAGAGCATGCCCACACTCAGTCATGGCGTGAACACCCCCGTGCCCAGGGCTGGTCACAGCAAAGGTACTGCATCTCACACAGAGGCCCAGGAAGGCGTGTAAAACATGACCTGCTAGAATGGGGAGCTTTAAGCTGCTGTCACCCCAAAGAGACGGAGGTCTCATACTAGCCGGCGAGGAGCCAGCAGGGTGGTTCGCAGGAAGTCCCCAGATCTGACCAGCTCCTGCTCTCTCAGGGGTCCGGCCTCTCAAGCCTTGGTTCTCACACTGCTTGAGAAAGGCTGGCAGCAGTCTTTTCTGAGGCCTTAAGAAGTCTGAGCAAGGTCGGCAAAGTTGAACGGTGACCATTACAGACATCAAGAGGGCCCTTTGCTCACCGGAATGCAGTGAGGCAGAGGTGGCTGCTGGCCCACTTTCCTGACCCCACAGGACAGTCCTGCTGCTGCCACACCAGAAACCCATGGCTCCTCCCCCCTCACAGAGACGCTGTCCTCTTGCAGTGCCCGTGTCCCCCCATTCCTTCTCCTTAAGAGCTGGGGTCATTAGTGACACTCATTAAGAGCTTGGCCTGTATCGGGAATGAGTTCTGAAGGGCCGGACCGGCCTGATGTACTGGAAGAGCCTTTCCAGAACCTGCCCGGAGCACTGCAGGTGGTACAGGCAGCTGCTTGTGCTTCACTGATGAGAGAGAGCACTTGAAGTCCCAGTCGCCTGGCTGGTGGGCCCTGCAATGAAGTTCTGGGCGTAATTAAGTACAGGACCCTGCGATTTCTGCACCTCTGTCCTTCGGGGAGGCCGTGAGGGCTAGCATCTGGAATGGGACAGACAGCATTTACACACGTGGCCTTGAAGGAAATACAGTCTGCTCCCACTCCACAAACGCAGCCTGAGCAGCGCTCTCACAGTGACAGTGACCCGGCTCGGTCAGTGCTGTTTCCAGGCGACCATGCTGAGGTGCGGTGGGTGATGTCTGCCAGGGTGTTCCCAACTCTGCTGTGAGGGAATACTATGGCAGTCCCTCCCTGCACGTCTTCACAACAGCAACTCACGCTTGCACTCTGCCAGGGTCAAGTGATAAGCCAGCAGCAAGGCTGGAGCAGGGGCTGGGAGAGAAGACACTCAGGCCTTCTGGGTCCCTCCTCTGAGGGGCTCCTGGCCAGCGCTAGGAAGGAAAGAACAGTGGCTGGCTGGGGATAAGGGGGGATGGCGGCCTCATGACAATGGAAGGACAGCGGCTGGTCCTAATCTAGCGTGCTGGTGCAGTCAGCATCCTGCTGTGGAAAGATCATTCCCCAGCTACTTGATGATGCAACCACTTGGTAGTCTTGGGCTAAATAATCAAAGCAAGACACAAATAATAATCTGGGTGCAGAGGGCAGAGGTGAGTGATTGCGCATGCGGACGGGTACGGCCTGGCCAGCCCTGGACTGCTCCAGAACACAGGGTGGTCTCTGCTAAGGGGCACTGGCCTCAGGAAGTGGCCCGAAGGCCCCAAGGCAAGCCAGCTTCCAGTCATGCAGGCAGCCAAGGGCAGACGTGGCACGCACTATGCCCGCCCTCCCCTGTGGGAGGGCTTGTGCAGACACAGAGGGGCTGATGGGGGTCCCCTCCAGCAAGAGCCTGCTCCATCTCACCATGGGACAGTCTCGGCACAGCTAGGGCTCAGCTTCAGAGGCCTTGTCACTAGAACAAACACAGACGGGCTTCCCGAGCCATTTGCAGGTGACAGGCGAGGTGATGTGCTGTGAGACAGAGTCGTGTCTAGGGACGGGACACTCGGCTGGGATCCGAGCAACAGGGCAGCTGGTAGTTGCCTCACTAAGAGCTCAGATGAGTGTGGGTCTTCTGACCCGAGCAGGGAGAGCCTCAGGCTGTGGCTGTCTCTCAGACAACTCAGGAGCCACCTGTGCCCTTCCCAGTAATCATGGTCAGGCACACTTAACAGTTTTTCTTCCACTGAGTGGAAAGAGGGTAATTAGGAACAAGAGCTGCCTTTTTAAAGTCTCTTTTTCCAAACTCTCAAAGCAGCAGCAGTGTGTTAGCTGCCACTGGCTGGCCCAGGTGCCACTGCCTGCGTTACTGTCTCTACACTGGGAAGCCAGCAAGTGCGGTCCCTGGTCAGAGGAGCACTGTGGAGCCAGAGCCCAGAGCCAGAGCCAGAGCACGGTCTGGTGGGTTTGGAAATGGGAAGGAGGAGCCACCGCTATGGCTGTGATGCCTTACCCTGTGATGTTACCCTGCACCTGTTCTGCCCTCCAGGGTTGGCAGCTGCTAGGAAAAGGCTCCCTTGCCAGGCTACCCACAGCTCTCCTTTCAACTCTGGCTCCCAAAGCCTTGGGTGCCTCAGGAGAGTCAGGAGGAAGGTGAGCAGCCGGGAGACAGCACTGACTAGCTCCCTGGACATGGTTGCAGTCTCTGGTGGCACGTGACTGACTCCCAGAATAGCACATGGCTCCACACGGAGCCAAGAAAGCCAGTGCTTTCTAACACTCAGGCCAGGTAAGAGGCTGCACATGGGAGATACACGAAATTCTAACAGGGGCACTTCTGGGCCGCTGAGGGGTGAAGAGCAGGCTGGGGCATGGCTGGCCTGAACACATTTCTGGGTACAGGTGGGCCATGACCAGCCTGACCTGGGCAGAGTGCATACGCTTGACTATCAGTGCCTGCACTGCCCGAGGCTAGCCTCTGAGGTTGGCTGGTGTGTCAGCCCTGGCCCACAGGCCCTATCTGGGCACCAGTCTTGTGGGCTCACAGCAGTGCCCAGCATGCCAACTGTCTCGCTTTCCTGTGTCATTTACGATGAGTGCTGCATGGCTACAGCTCTGCATGCCTGGTCCTGAGCTTTGCAGAGGGCAATGCTGTCTCCTAATGTCAAAAGTCTGCATGAGTCTGGCAAAAAGAAGATGTCACACGGACACTCCATGTCTTCGTGACACAAGTTTCTGTCTCTGAGGATCTAGATGTCTTCCGGCACGTGTTCCTTGGGAGGACTGTCCCTGGAGACAGATTCCTGATGCAGCAACTCTGCTGCCGCATTCTCAGAGCCCCAGAGGGGCTTGGGAACAACCAGGAGGGCGCAGACTGAAACTGTCATGGACCTGAGGTGGCCACAGGCCAGGAACCAGCATCCTCCAACTGGATCCTCCATGCTCACAGTCCACGGGCAGCAGGGAGGGGTTTGTGGGGGAGATAAGCCACTCCATGTTATTTCAAGGTTTCTTATTTACACACCTCTACGTTACAGTTCACAGCTCTGCACAGAGCAGCGTCTGAGCAGCGCCAGGCTCCAGGAGACGCATTACCAAGAAAGGGTGTCTTTCGAGAGTGCTCCCAACAGCCAGGGCCCTTAGGAAGCAGAGGAACCCGTACACCTGCTTCTCTCCTCAGTGCGCCTGACACTGTGTTCATACACGAAAGGACTCCAGAAAGCACGGATCACTCAGAGACGAGAAAAGAGAGAGGAGCCTCGGCTGCTGCTATGAGGAAGAGGCCAGCACAAAAAGCTACGCACGACAGCTACAGGACACCGCAGCAGCTGGTGCGTGCCATCGGGGAGAGGGCAGGAGGAGGGCCAAGCACAGGACTGTGGAGGGCTGTGCAACTATGTGGACGTGCTGTGGAGGCCGACACAAGGCACCAAGGATCGTGCAGAGCATGCACACGGTGGCCAGGCCCACAGTGGCTCCACCTCAGCCAATGTGCCAAGCTGCTTGTGGGGGTGGGGCCTCACACTAATAAAGACAGTATTCCAGGAGCATGGAGTACATGGACACCACAGCGCTTCCTGCTCAACCCTTCATGAACCTGAAGCCTAAGAAGTTTATCATCCTCATCCTCACACCATCATCACTACCATCATCCTCATCGTTATTGTCATCACCATTGTCATCATCATCCTCCTTGTCATCCTCCTCCTCACCATCACCATCCTCCTCCTCATCATCACTATTTATTTTAACAAACTGAAGCTAACAAATGGCTGAATGGAAGACCTGGCAGCACAGAACTCAAGTGCTAGTCACAGTTGTAGTGTGGAAGTGGAAAAATAGCAAGAGCATAAACCAGAACTTTAGCAGGGTCACAAAAGCTCTCAGGAGACACTTGGTGGTCATCCTGAGTTCCTGAGACCCTGTCTCCAAAGAGTGGGGCTGGGGCGGGGGGTAGGCGTGCGACAGCCTTGAAGGTACACGGGATGTGTTTGTCTGAACTTTGTCTTGCTACTGAGAACCTCAGAGGCTTTCTAACAGGCAGGGCACACGCAGCACATTAACCACCACACAGGCTCTCCCAGGGTGTTACACACGGGAAGCCTACGTCAGATAACCCGGGTGCTTCTATACATTGCGCGAGATACACTGCGGTTCTAGAGAGAGTTCTTTCCGTGAGAAACTGAAAAGCAACCAGAATGTAAATGTGTGGTTAACCTGCTCTTTTCTGCACTACAGAAATGGGGCTTGGAAACCAACCGTGAGACTGCAGAGGTGTCAGCGGGCAATCGTAAGGACCTGAGTTCGCATCTCCAGTACCCAGAGAAAAGCCAAGCATGCTGGTGTACGCCTGTAACCACAGTGCCAGCATGGAGACAAGGAGAACCCAGGGACTTGCTGGCCACTCAGGCCAGCTGAAAGAGCAAATGCAGGTTCAGCCCTGTCTCTACACATGTACATACCATGCGCGCGCGCACACACACCACTAAAGATTAGTTTTCAAACTTGACCTGGCAATCATCAGATTGAGGTGTGGCTGTGGTACTCTGTGAGCTGGGACACAGGGTGACAGAGGTGACATGACGACATCCTGCTGCCAGGACCATGGGGAGGAGAGCTGGAATGCTTGGCACAACCTGAAAGCCCCCCCCCCCCCAACTGTCCTCTTTGGAAGAATTAGGCTCTGCTCTTGCTTCCTTCAGAGATAAAGCAGAGACAGGATCTGACAGAGATGTCCAATGTAAGCCACCGACATCCAATTCCACGTGTGCAGCACGAATGGCCAAGTGGAGCACATGGACCCACAGGTTCCCACATGCCCACCCACACAGCCGGGTGTCCTGGCCTCCACTTACTCCGGAGGCTCCCCATGCTGGGCGCAGGGTGGGTCCTGGGAGGCAGCGTGCTGTGGTAGGGCGGGGTGCTGCTGAACAAGATGTCGTTGGGCAGGGCCTGGTCCAGGATGGAGCTCCGGGAGCTGGCGAAGGAGGAGCCCCGGCGGGTGCTACACACGCTCTCGTCCGACAGCGTTCGGTACAGCGACCTCCGAGGAGACAGGTTCCCATAGAACGAGAACTGGGGGAGCAAGGCATGGGACATTAACAGCTTGAAGGAGCAGCGGTTCATACCTGTAACCTCGATACATGGCAAGTTGAGTCAGGGGGACTGCTGAGAGTTCAAGGCCAGCCCGAGTTAGATGGCAAGGAAAGGCAGCTCTGTGCTACCAGGGTAAGACCAAACCAAACCAAACACCCCAAATAAGTGTGCGGCTAGAGTCGTCTGTCTGTGCTGTGGGACAGTTCCTCAGCATCTCCATGGGCTCAGGAAAGCCAAGCATGCAGCGAGGCCCCCGGGTCACCCTAGATTCCAGAGCTGCCTCCTCCGTCTAGCACAAACAGACAGGCCCCACTTTATTAATTCTGAACTGTCAGATGGAACCCAACAGAGGTGAGTGATCCCAGAAATGACAAGGCTGTCGTTTGTTCAGGCAGCCAGTGTTCACAGCAGCACATGTTGTAGCGGGACGGGATTGCAAATACGACACTTTAATATCAGGCAGCAGGGGTGTCCAACTGAGTCTAAGAAACAAAACTCATCCTGAACAGTGACATTTTCTGAGCCATATAAATGGGCTTAAAGAAAGTAGTTTAAATCCAGCAAATCCTGCTGTCTGCTTAAAAATTTCCACTTGTAAAAGTCTGTGTAATAATTGTTGGGAACTGGATTACAGTTAACAGGACAAATCCATTGCGAGGGTCAGCATTGTCAACGGACAGAATCTAGATATCCCGGGAGAGTGTCCGGAAGTCTACCCTGTGAGCCTGTGGGCAAGTATATGGGGTGTGTTAAGCTGTCCCGGGTGACCCAGCCTGCTGTGGGTGGCACCATTCCCTACTCGAGGGGTTGGCGGTAGAGAACCCTATCTGAGTGCCGGCATGCGTATACCCACTTAGCTCTGCTCGTATGTGGGTGTGATATGAACCTGCTTGAAGCCTGAGGTTCCTGCCCTGACTTCCACACTTACCTATGGTAACCTGGAACTGCAAGACAAAACACAGCCCTTCTCTCCCCAGCAAGAGAGACATGGAACTAGGCCAACCAGCTATACGGAAACATCACTGTGTGTCAAATCTCAGACACAGCAAAGCAAAGTGCAACCAAAGAAGCAGGACTCAAGAGAAGTCAAACCTGAGCTGAACTCCATCACTCCCCTGGCACACGAAACCAGATTCCTCTTACACACACCCCTTTTCTGACACACAGAAGTGGCTGTGAGCTCTTCTGCATGTGGCAAGGAGCCAGAAATGCTTCTACTGCCCATGTTCTAGCCACCTGCCTGGCCTTTCCAGTGAAGAATTAAACAGTTATGTGTGTGTGTGTGTGTGTGTGTGTGTGTGTGCGCACGCGCGCGCACGTGTGCTCGTGCGCACGCGCTGCATAGCTCGCTTGTACTGGGAAAAGGAAGTGACTTGTCTGAAGAAAACACACCGGCCAAGCACAAGTTCACCCACTCTGAGCCGGTGCACGCTGTGGAGGCTTCTGCCTTTGCACCCACGCACACACAGTTCCCTCAGGGATCTGACAGGAGCCTCAGGAAGAGGCTTGTGAGGCATTCTGCGGGATTCCCTTTCTCGGCAAGGTCCTCTGCGCGCAGGTGCACGGACGGGCAGTGTCCGACAGCAAACGTGCGGCAGCCAACTGTGGGAAGACCGCACGGCCGGCTGCACACTCACCCCAGGCAATGCCTTGCCTCGCTTTCCTGCTGAAAGCACAGAAGCTTGGACTAAGCGAGACAAGTCTGTTCTAGAACTAAATGGGAGTGTGCTTCCCATTCTGCCACTTGAGTTGGAAGTGACTGGCCAAACTGATGTAGGCTCTCTTAACACTCAGCATTATTTTAAAAGTGGTTTTACTCTGCTCCTTTCCTTGTGTGGGGTACATACAGGCCATGGCACACTGGTGGAGCCAGAGAATAATCTGGGGAGCCTTCCTCCATCGTGTGGGTCCTAGGGACAGAACTCGGTCGTGAGGCTTCGCAGTGAGCACCTTTAGTCGATGCCACGTCGGCAGGTCTTGCTTGGCTTTACTGTAAAAGGTGACTTAGAGAGTCTGGGAGAGAAAGCAGAGAGCAGCGACCTCTTCCCTTGAGAAGGGCTGCAGAGCACAAGGCCGAGACAGGCTGTCTCTCTGCCGTAGCCTGCATGTATACAGGGTTGGCAGGTGGGCTGCAGCTAAGCCATCCACTTCTGGAACAGAACCACCCCAACCCTGGCAGGGCACAGGCTGGAGGCCCTGGGTGTGCGAAGCAGTGTGACCTTCACTGCTGGGGCCTGACTGCCAGCTATGACTGCCAGGGCCTGAGCTGCCCTGGCCCTGGAAGACAGTCTCTGCCATGACCTTTTAGCAGCAGAGGAAGGCCCACTTGCATAAGCTCAGTTGGCCGGTCAGAGCTGGAGCTGACCCAAGGCGGCCCGCCCGTGCTCTGCAGGCTGCTCGCCTTCTGAAGGGACTGGCAGTGACGAGGTCAAGGCCTGACTGCAGCTCTTGCCTGGCACGTGCGAGGCCCTGAGGTTCCCTCCTCAGCACTAAAAACAAAGCCCGACGCCCGCACAGTGCTGCTGGTGGGCCCCAGAAAGGGCTGTGGGAGGCACAGCTCCCGCAGTCACACTTGTGCTAAGTGTGCCAGGACGGCCTCGAGGTCACTCACCTTTCGTCTCCCCTCCTCCACCAAGGGGCTGTCAGGGAGCATCAACTTGAGAAAGTCGTCTTTGGACAGGACATGCTGAGTCTCCGGGACAGCATCTCCCACGGCCGGATGCTGTGCCACTGTGGACATGAGGTCCAACTCGCCATACATTCTGCTGGATAAAGCACAGCTCAGCTTCAGAGGGGCTGTGCTCACCCTGTAAGGCCCTGGGGGTCACATCAAAGCCCAGGACACATCTGAAGGCTCAGGAGATGGCTCAGTTAGTGTGAGGACCTGACTTCAATCTCCCAGAGCTCAGATAAAGAAGTCCGGCATGGTGGTGAGCCTGGTCCTGGAGAGGCAGAGATAAGGAGATCTTGGAGGCTCATTGGTCAGCCAGCTCCAGGCCAGTGACAGACACCGCCTCAGAAATCTAGTGGGTAGAGACCCACACAGGCCAAGGGTATTCTCTGACACATACACACTATTTATTCTCAGCTCCGCAGTTCACCGTGGCTGAGTGTGTGCCATCACAACATCTCAAATCCGTGAAATGAATTGAAATATAGTTAGATTTCTGAATAATTCAGAGACAACTCAGATCCCCAAAGCCCAAGATGAAAATCCTACAACTTGAATTAAGGCCACACTTCTCTGTTAATCTGTGTCAGAAAGCACACAGGACTACCGGACACTGCTGCCTCTGCAGCAGCTCTGCACCCTCAGAGACCTCAGAGCCTCCCGGAGGCTGCGTGGCAGGCCCAGCAGCCGCCAGGAAGAGGCAGCTGCCCCAGGTGGCCTGGGGTTCAGAGAAGCTGGCCGAGCTAAGCAGGCTCATTATTGGGGCCTTCACAGACCTGTCTGGATAAATAACAGCACAGCCCCTTCCATTACAAGCTTATGAAAATGTATTTGTAAGTTACACAAGCCTGCCATGTCGAATTCCTGTGCCCAGGTCCTTCCCAGGGAGAGACTGAGGAGACACTGTGGAAAGGTTGCGGTCAGAACATGCCCCGAGCAGCTGCTGGGGACCCGGGGCTATCGGGCTGGTTATCCGTGTGCACAGCTATGAAGGCAAGCTCAGAGAATGGAGCCCACAGTGGAGAATGACAGAGGGTGGCCCACGAGGCATGGGAGCACTGACCCACCTCTTCAGTGAGATGCCACCTTAGCCCAGCGTGACAGCTGGTGCGGAGGGATGGCAGGAAACATACAAGGCCTCCTCACAGGGACGGGGCCTGCTCACAGGGATGGGGCCTGCTCACAGGGATGGGGCCTGCTCACAGTGGCGGGGCCTTATGGGAAATGCTCTGTGGCCTTCCACTTGTCCTTCCCCACCCTGAAGTACAGGGGATGCAGACAGTGTGAACAGAGACCTTTTGGACAAGACTGGAGAGGAACAGGCATGGCAGGAGAGACAAAGACCCTGGGGACTTCGCAGGTGAGCCCCGGTGGCTGTTAGGACCAGCACCTCAGTTAGTGCCTGACTCGGGGTGCCGATACTGGGGCTGGGAAGTGCTCAAGAGGCTCATGCCCTGCGCCGACGGGGACATAGGAAAAGTGCAGGTTTTATCAGCAGCTGCATCATGGAGAGAAAACAAAACCATCATGTCGGCACAGACAGCGCTCTAGCTTCAGTGGATAAGATGACCACGCTCCACTATGCTAATTCTGGAGAAATGTGTTCAACAGTCACCCATAAATATGCTCCAAGGGTTTACTCTGTGCTGGTCCCTGTGACTGTCTGGGGCCCTGGATGATCCGGAGGCTGAGTGTGCACACATGTAGATGGGGAGGACACAGAAGGTGCAGAGAAGAGCCCACCTGGGGGGGACGCTGTGCGGAGACTCAAGGTTTCCGCAGTGAGCAGGGGCACAATCGGATACCAGGCACAACTCTGCCTCAGTTGTTCTAAAACATAGGATTTTGCTGGCCAAAGTCAGCACAGAAGGCTCTGCAGCACAACTGTAAAGTGACTGCTCATTTCTTTTCTTTCTGTGGTGTGTGCACATCTATGCATTTGTGTGTGTGAAGGGTTGGGACAGGCTGGTGTCTTTTTCTGGAGCTCCCCACCGTAGTTCTTGAGACAGGGTCTCTCGCTGAACCTGACGCTTACAGCCTGGCCGGGGTTCGGTGGGTGCCATGCATGCTGCACCCTGCCTCCCTCGAGGAGGGCAGGGAGGGCCGGCAGCACCTTACTCAAGAGCCACCTCCCAGCCCACTGGCAACCTCGGAGCTACAGACTTCTCCCACAGAATGAATACTAAGGCTCGGTTCTGTGCACAGCGGGCCACGGCCAGTGTGTGATCCCAGCACTGCTAGCCTCAGCAGCCCGAAGCTCCCAGACGGTTTGACCCCGGGTGGGGGGTGCCTTGTAGGACTCAGAACCTAGCCCTGCAGTCCTTAGGACCCGCCAGATGTGCCCAGCATGACACACTTGATAGGGCTGGAGTCCGGCACTGACACGCTGCCTTGACATAACTGGCTCGAATCCTCAGAAGTGGGCACAGGACAGATGATCTCCCTGCCACACGTGCCTGAGCACACACAGGACAGTGCCACCTGCCTCATGCCATGGTGCCAGGATTCTTAGGTGAGGGGTGCAGCAGGGTCGTGCTGGGCCCCATCTCGTATCTGGGAGTGGCTCCCCTTCAACACTCCCGTCACCCTCTTCCTGAGGCCTCACTCTGGGCCCACTCATACACAAGCAGAGCCTGTGCCACCCCCACCAGGCTCCCACAGTGCTTTCTGGAATTGACAAAATGCTTGGGATGAACTGCTGTGAAGCATCCACAAGACGTACAAAGTCTCGACAGAAGACCTGCTTGTGACATACGCATTTTCCTGACCTTAGCAGCTGCGTGAAGGCATGGTAGAACCGGCCTTCTCAAACATTTTGCAACAAAGTGACATGATCCTCTGTACTCCAAAAGCCCAGGATGATGTAAACATTAACCTGGTTGACTTAGGACTCTACGCATGAGAGCTGGGGTTAGCACGGGATCATTTTATCAGAAGTTAGTGCTCGCACACGAGTCATAGCTTACAAATCTCCGCAGTGTCTCCACTAAGAGTGTCTGCACTCCCCCATAAGCTGAGCACTCACAGGCCCAGGCAGTCACGCCTGCCTCACAGCAAGCTCACACTGTAGAGCACAAGCTTCAGACCCTATGACACACGGGCTCTGAGGCCTCTCTGGGTGAAACCAAACCTTCCGTTTCCCTCCTTTACACAGACATGAAGCACCCCCCTGCCCCACCCCAGCAAATCTTAAGAGTCCTGCAGAGCAGCCAGGTAAAGTGTTTCTGCTTTTACACGCTCTGACTGTGGGACTCATGCTGCCCTTGGCCTTGAGACATCGTAGGGTCTATGTCACACCATGGTCAGCTGTTACCACGGATCCACTGCAGACAGCTTTTTGGATACAGGATCAAAGACAGCAGAGCTTTACACTTTGTTACATGTGAAAGCCAAGGGCTGGGGAGACTGATCAGCAGGTAAGGGCCTGCCGTCTCCACGTGCAAGCCTGACTGAGCTCAGTTCCAGGTGCCCTACGGTCGAAGCAGGAAATCAACTCCATACATTATCATCCTCACCACCATCATCACCATCATCTTCATCACGATCATCACCATCACCATCACTATCATCACCACCATCACCATCATTTTCATCACCACCATCATCACCACCACCATCATCATCTTCATCACCATACCACCATCATCATCACCATCATCACCATCATCTTCATCACCATCATCATCACTACCATCACCATCACCACCATCACCATCATCACCAACATCATCATCACCATCATCATCACCACCGTCACCAACATCATCATCACCACATCACCATCATCATCATAGTAAAGACTTTAAAGAGAGAGATACAACTCCCACCATTTAAAGACTTGAAAACAGGCCGGGACTAAGGACGGCCCAGTGGGTAAATGCTTGCCTTGCACAAGGACTTGGGTTCCAACCCCAGCGCCCAGGTGAAAAGCTGAGCGAGAGGTGGGGCCGGGGGGTGTCTGCACCTGTAATCCAGACTGGGGAGGCGGAGATAGGAGGATCACTGCAGCTCAGAGGCAGCCTCGCCTGCTTGCTGAGTTCTAGGTCAGAGAAGGTAGACACACTGGAAGAATATTGTTACAGGCTGTTCTCTGGATTCCACGTGACTGTGTACAAATGTGTACACACACACACACACACACACACACACACACACACACACACACACA